AGCTCAGCTGATTTCTCCTCCCTGGCTGCAGGCTGATAACAGACAGTTGGGATCGCGGCGAAATTCTCTCTGCAGACCCATTCTCACAGCGTTTATCAACCTTTTTCTTACTCAATATCAAGCCACACTTATTGTTTTTACTTCGGCTGTGAGCTTGTGTGTGCTCAGGATGAGTTTGGCTGTGTTTCGCTATGTATCCTAAACAAGGAAACAACACCTCCACGGAGCTCAGCGCGATTCACAACGTCCCGACCAATCAGAGCACACTGTGCTCACAGGGAGGGTGGGGGCTGGAGCTTTGGGAGCTACAACGAGCCGTTAAAGGCAGAGAGTGAAATTCAGTAAATACACGTAGTTTACAGAGATGCTGTATGAGAAACCAATGTGAGTTTGGAAAAATGCACAATATAAATCTATTCTAGTATACCTCAACAATGGAATTATGATCAGTGGAAATGGCCATGACACCTCTCCTTTAATGTTATCCTGTCATGATTTACTCTGCCCTCCTCTTTAATGTCTTCTATGTGTGGAAATCTCTTTAAATGATGCATACAGCTTCCCATGAGGCATACACACGATCCCCTTCATAAACTCCCCCAGAAGAAAACAAAGGATTTTGATTCGGAAATAAAATATTTGTCAGAGTTGGATCATTATTATTATTTTAAATGTTGCACAGCGCAGAGAGGGGATTCTTTGATACATGTTAAAAACACAATCCACAATAGAAAACTGGAAGCAGAGAACATTAGAGAATGTTCCCCCCTCCCCCCCCTCACTCTCACACACATACAGACAAACGCACAAACATTAACACACACACTTCTTCCTGTTGGAATATATTCTCTCCCTGTGCATTGTAAATAATTAAGTTCCCCCGAATAAGAAAGAGAGTCATTAATATATGTGACACAGAGCTGCTGTGATTTATTAAAGCTGCTGGTTAATTGAACATGATCAAATGTTGTTTACACCTATAGTCTGCGTACTTTTGTCCCTAAAGCCATTTTTTCAGGGATGATATTTTTCATCTGCCACCGGCAGCTCTTAAATTCAAATTATACGTTAAATTAATTGTGTCTACAGACAATACCAGAAAAATAGTCCTTGACCTTGGAGTGAGGGACCTAACATCAGGTGTGTTAATCCAACAGGCTCTCCTGGAAAGTGTGACATTCCGCATCTACATTTCTCTTTTTTACACTCGCCGTGTTGTGTTCGCCGATATCAATGACCGTCTCGTCTACAATTGAAGTATTTCGACATGACGTGACCACGTGATGCCACCTTCTGCTTGTGTTGTGTTCAAGGACCCTGACCTTGGCCGAGAAAAAGTCAGTCGCCCGTTTTATTTTATTGCTGTCAAGATCTTTTCAAGGTCCCATGTCATGCTTTTCCGGTTATTACCCGTTCCCTTGTGTGTTATGTAGCTTTTTCTGCAAAGTCACAAACCCTCAAAGTACACCCTGTAGCGAGTAAAACTCTAACACAGAAAAGACCTGTCTATGCTGCCCCAGAACGCCTCGTTGGAGATTTCTCTTTTTCCATTCTTTTCTTCCTGGTCACAGTGACGTAACGACGACCAGATGGACCAACTGGTCCAAATGGACCAATCCGTGGAGCTCCTCACACACACACACTCACTCAGCCTTATATTTTCTCAGCCGCGCTACTATGCGGAGTTTCGCCGGAACACACACTCACTCAGCCTTATCTTTTCTCAGGCTGTGAGTGTGTGGCGAACTGTGTGGCGAACAGCCAGGCTGTGAGTGTGTGTGTGTGCTCAGCCTGAGTTCCGCTGTGTCTCGCTGTCTCGCAGACCCCACGCAGGAACCAGGAAACGACTCCAGTATTACAGCTCACACTGTCCGCTCCTCGAGCCTCAAAGGGCGGAGCAGCGAGCCCCGCAACGTCCCGCCAACACGGCACCCAGACCCCACGCAGCATTCTCATCTGTTTGTCATTACTGGTGTCATTTTCTGGTTGCTAACAAACGCCATTGTAACACATAATCTCTGATGTTTCGCTGTAACGGTGGTGGACTCATGAGAACAGAGTGGGCGAGCTGACCAATCAGAGCACAGTGGGCTCATAGGGAGGGGGGGGCAGGAGCTCCAGCAAGCCGTGTAGGACAGAGAGTGAATACACATACTTTACAGAGATGCTGTATGAGAAACCAATGTGAGTTTGGAACATTGAACAATGTAAATCTATTCTAGTAGACCTCAACAATGGAATTATGATCAGAAATGGCCATGACATGGGACCTTTAAAACATTTTTGGAGTTTTATATTTATTTTCTGCGTGTTTCATGAATAACCTCAAGGGCCGGATCAAATTGTCTCGAGGGCCATACACGGCCCGGAGGCCAGAGGTTCCCCACCCTGCTGGTGGTCATCCTCAGTAAGAACCAGAACCAGCTCTCCTGGTGACTTGTAAAACAACCTGTTCATTCCTCAAATTCAGCTCATCAAAGAATGGATATGTCTTCATCAGCTGATCCAATCACTGTTAGGAAATGTAGCAGGTTTGCTAAAAGATACAAATCATGTGTGTTCCAGTACCAAAAAAAGTGCAGGTGCTTCATATCTGCACATCTTTCGGTGATGTGCAACACAATACCGTCAACAATCCAGACGTACTGACGTTGGAAAGATAAACCGTTTTCTTATCTCAGACTGCCTGGACTGTTTCATCCTAACTGCCACTGTATGTCTCATCTGTTCGTGTGGCTTCGAGAACACTTAGTGCGCTCTTGTTCGGTCTAGGCATCTTTCATGTCCACCATTTGACTTTGCAGAACCTGGAAGAGAGGTTCTGTGAGCTAAATCAGAATCAGAATACGTTTATTCGTCCCACAGAGGGGACATTTACATTTGTTTTCAAAAGAGCCAAAGACAGCTTAGTATTACTTAAGAAGCATGCATAAAAATATTAAAGATACAAATAGAAATTACACAATTTGCAATTTACAAAATACACATTCAGTAGCAGTAACAGTTTTGAAAATATAGCAGACAGGTGTAAGTATTAAAAGTGGAAGTATATATTGCACAGTTATTTATGGTGTGTCTATATATTGCACATAAGTGGTATTGCACAACAGGAGTGTTATGCCGCAGTTCCACTACAGCGCGGAGCTCGCTTTAAGCGTGCCGTGTCGTGCCGTACCCGTTTTTGGTTGCGCTTCCACTAGGCCTAGTTACGGCCCGGCCCGGCCCGGGGCCACTTTTTCACCTCTTTTCTGGCCCGACAAAATTGTGGTTCTATCGGGGCCAACAAACAGGGCTGAGTCGGGCTGAGTATGCTAAACTAGAGAGAGGAGCGCTGGCAAGAGGGCTAGAACTACAACAAGATGGACATATTTGACCGTGATTTAATTGTAATACACGTTTCAAAATGATGCCGAAGTAACAACATACTGATACCGGTTAGTAAAAACCATGAATTAATGCTTTGTCAAGTCTGCAGACAGACGGCAGGCGAAAAACCTTTTAAAATGCGTGTTTTTCTAGGTGGAGATTGGCTAAGCTAACGCAGTATATGCTCCGACCGTCCACACTCACAACAACGGCCTATACAGACATAAATAAAGCAGCGACTGTATTCACCATGACACAGGCAGTCTGTGGTTTGTACTTGTTTAACTTTTGTCGAGTTTCTGAACATATATAAGGAGCTGTGAGCTCTGAGTGCTAACAGCTAACGGCTGTGTTGTGTTTCTGGAGTTCTCATTGAAGATGACGTCACGGCTCCGCCTACACTGCGTTACTATAGTAACTACCCCAGTTCCTAAACTGTAATGGAAGCGCAGCATGAAGTGAGTCGGCCCTGTTAAGGCCCAACGCGGCCAAGCCGTACCGAGCCGTACCGAGTGTGGCCGAGGCCGACCGTGTAGTGGAAATGCGCCATTATAGTCTTTGTTGTTATGTGTGTGGGGGGGTCTACCAGGGGCCGTGGTGGTTGTACGGCCCTGGTGGTTGACAGTGGCCTCCTCTGATTGGTCAATTATTTTTACCAAGGGATTCCAATTTTGCCTGGCCTCCTCACAACCGTGACATGAGTCTGCAGTAAATCTGTTTCACCACACACTCACCATTACATTTAGAGGGGCGCTGTCTCACACTGTAGAATACTCAATGACAATAGCACACAGCAAAGAAGAATTTCCCAAACTTAAGTGTTTCTTATTCAAACTAGAACTACAGTGTTGTTGCTTACCAGTGTCGGCTTCTATGTTATTTTGGTCACAGATTCACAGGAGAGCCGTCCCATGGTGGACAGATGAGTGCAGTAAAGACAAGAGGAACGTTTTGACATTATGAAAGAGAACCTTTCATTTTCAAAAGAGAATAGCTCTGTTCTCTCACTGAAAAGGTTCAAACGTTTTTTTTGGGGAGTGGAGGTGTTTTAGAAGCTGTTCAATGTTAAAGATGTGTTTATGATTTATTGTAAAATGGATTGTGAATGAAGTTCTGTCTGTACACATCAGATCTATAATAAAGATTCTTCATAATTTCTTACTGTTAGCATTTCTTACGCCTGCACTGTATATTACGTAACACTGATTTACTAATATCTGCACTGCCTACTGTGACTGCTGAGTGTCACACTGTTCATGCTGTGTCTTAGACTCTTCATTACACACTGTGCTGTTTATATTCCCCTTACTATGTCTTCTATATTCATTAAATAGTATTTACTGTGATTCTGAACTCTGTGCTTCTGTTTGGATGCTGAACTGCATTTGGTTCTCTTATCTGAACAGACACAAACATCAGTGACACGGAGGTCATTTACCTCTCCGCACCTCTGCTATAAAAGTTAAACCCTTCAACAAGTCGGCACCCACAAACAGAAGAGAGGTAACTGTCTAAACAGTAACCAGGCCTCAAGGTCAAAGACCTGAAATGAAAAGTCTGAACTTTGTTTTAAAGGCTGCACAGTTCCTCAGCTCTCTTTATTGTAACGTGCAGATGGAACAGATACATAAAAAGGCTGATCCTCTCCCAGAGGACAGACATGGCTGAGTTTTCTAACTGAGATCATTTTACAGCCTTGCTTCATTTCACCACTCTCCTCAATAAATAAGAACAGTCTATATGCTTTTAAAGGCAGTTTGTCACGTGCAGGGTTGCAGGCCCCTCCCCGTGAACTTTGGAAAGTCTGTCGTCCTTCATCGTTCTGTTTTCTAAACACTCTGGTATTCCCTCCACATCTCAGCCAGACAGAACATCCTAGAAGTGAGTACACACACTAATAACCCACTCTATTACTGTATGTACGGTTCAACATAAGACAGTTGAATAGTATTAACTTTGGCATTCTGACTCATGTTTTTGTACTTTTTTTGTATAATCAGGAGATTTTCGGGGAGGGTAAGGGTCTTTTAGTCACAGCGTGTAAAACTTGTGCTACCTGTGTGGGGTCATGTGATTTACTGACAATTGCTTCACTCTCTCCCCATGGTGTGCGCTCTGCTAGTTAATAATGCTAGTTAGTGGTGTATTTTATTAAATATAGAGTCATGTACTGTACGTTTAACAAAACAAACAGTTATAGAGAACACATCATGCTCAGGTTCATACCTGTTTTTCACTTCATTGAATACCTCTCTGATCTGATAGTAAAGTGAAAGTCAATCTTGTGTGATAACTCATAACAAAGCTTACTCCTCTGTAGATATGTTTGAGGCCTGGATCGTATTGTTTCTTCCCCTGTTAGGTAAGTTCATACCACATTCAGACACATTTCAATGAAATGGTTATATTTACAACAAAGAATCTAACCATGTGATTGTCACACAGCTGCAGGGGCGAGGGGCTTCATGGTCCACAACATGCAGCGCAGCCTGTGTCTGGAGGAGACCCCCGCCACAGGGGAGGTCCTGCTAAAGAGCTGCAGCCTGGACTCAGAGTCTCAGCAGTGGGCCTGGGTGGACCAGGGCCTGCTGATGTGTGTCCCATCATCCAGGTGTCTGTCGGCCCTGCAGAGGGAGCCCGTCCACACGGGGCCCTGCTGGGGGCCGGGGGTGGATGTGAGGGGGTTAATGTGGGACTGTGACAGGGGCAGGTTGATCAGCAGGAACTCCTCCATGCTGCTGTCAGTGGATGGCGGGCGTCTGACTCTCGCACATGACAGCAAACACTCAAAGTGGAAATCTCTGGATGAGGGGGACATCTGCCACGAAAGACTCAGTGAGTCAGCGAGGATTAAAGCAGGCCTGTGCTGATATCCACATCCAGGAGTCATTTGTACATCAATATCCATCATGCTCTCTCTTTTAGCTCTGCTTTTGGTCTCTACCTACTGCTTTAGCTGCTAAATGTTCCACAAGGTCCAGCAGCTAGTCTCTCTCTGAGTCTGTCTGGTGCTGCAGAGCAGAGCCTTTTCACAGCGTGCTCACTGAAACACCTTCCTGCTGCTGGAAACTGAGCTCAGCAGTAGGGGAAGTGAACATGTCAAGTTGTGAGCTGTTATGTGCTGCATGTGCTTCATATTGTGATAATGTTGTGTTTACAGCTTGTGCTGCTGCCCCCATGTGGCTACAATTAGGTGTTGCAGCTTTAAAAGTGGCCAATAGCACCTGAACTAATGTACCTGCCATGTATTAGTTAAAACAAATATCTGGTAAATTAGTTATAGGAAAAGAAAATGGTAATTTAAGATTAGAATTGCTGAAAAATAAATGTGGTATAAGATTGAATTTGGACAACTGGTAAAACATAATACTGTGTGAGCTTTTACAACACATATGTAGTGCATTGACTTGTTTTGGAGACATTATTTAACATTATTATCATTTAAGTTTGATTATGGGTTTGTATTATATGTGTCATACGATATGTGTCTCTGCAGGATCCAAGAGGGCTTCTAAACATCCAGAAGAGTTTGAGTTAGCGTCAGCGGAGCAGAGCAGCGACATGACGGAGGAACAGAGAGCATACCTGCGCTGGTTCTATCGCACAGAGGACCGTAAGTACTGCTGCTCCTCAAATGCTTCATCTTATAGAAATGTTGTCAGAAATCCCTCTCATCACAGAAAGGATAAGGCCAATTTGCCATGGGGATCTGAAGTTCCAGACAACTCAGCCTCTAGGTTCATAGTGACACACAAACCGCTCCACCAGAGGTGAATTAGAGTAAAGAGAAGGGCTTAGACAAGAGACTGGGTTGGCTCATGGTTATCTCTAATGGCTAGCATTCCTTCTTTACTAGCAGAGGTAGAGGTGTTGCATTTTTAATACATAAATCACTCCCATGGAGATGTAATCAGACAAAATTGATCAAATGTCCTGATCAGAGGCCTCCTACAGGGGAAAATAAGTCATGTATGAATATATGTGCTTCAGTCGCCGTACAAACAGATACACATGATGTTAAAAAAATCGTACTGGTTACATGCTTCCTTAATAGTGGCTGGAGGCCTGAACTGAAGTCTCCACAGTCTTGATAAATCTGAACACAAAAAACCCAAACTAGACCAGCCTGGAGAAGTTCTCCTTCTGTTCAAATGTACGGCACTTTTTAACACCTTAGGCATCGCTGGAAAAAGTGAACTCTTTGACTGAGTCCTGATTACTGGTCAGGTAGATCTCTTATGTTCAGCAGAGCAACAGTGTAGTAAAACTGAACAATTGTTGGAAAACCCAACATTTAGGAAACATCTTAAAGGAACAGTTTCAGTTGAGTCTTATTTCAAATAATAGCCTTATTTGCTATTGGGCACAGCCAAAGCATGGAGGGACCATTATCTCACACCCAGCACATCAGAGACAATCTTAAACGCTTGCATCTCAAAAAAGTGTTCAGACAAAAGGAACATGGTGCTTGTCCTTCAAGGTTCAAGGTTCAAGATTCAAGGCTTTTATTGTCATTTGTACATAGCTACAGTGTAGTTATGACAATGAAATTCTTAGGTCACAGGCTCCTCCAACAGTGCAACACAATAAAACAGATCACTAGAAGCATGATGCTTTAAAAAAGTGCTCCTGTAGGCATTCTGTCATCAGACTTCATCTCTTTAAACAGAGAATGTATTAGCCGTGTAGATACTTTAAAAAACTAGTGTGAGAAAAAGACCACCCACAGGATATATGTATAAAAGTGCACCTCTGTAACAAACTGCACCACAGCTTCTGGTTGTGATCACTGTGTGCAAAGCACTACATTTAAATCATTTCATGAGCTTTAATGTCTTAAAAGGATTCACAAATGCACAAAACTCTATGCCTGCACTTCTAGATGTGCTTACAATGACTTCCTGGCCGGACTTACTAGCATTTGTGGTGTACACTTAAGGTTTTTCGTCGTCTCTGTTACCTTTCTAATTAATTCACCTTGCTACTTACCAAGTAAAAAATTGCAATGGGCTTTAAATTCATTGCATCTAATGACGTCACACGTTTGATGCGCTCTGAGCTAAAAACACTTCATTTACAAATAAACAAGGACAAAAAAACAAAGCATCTTCACAAAATTCATTTTGCCTCCCTATAGTCAAACCCTAAGACAACATATAAAGCAAAAATAAAGACAACATATAGAGAGCATAATGTATTACATTTAATGCGGTCTCGCATCACATGATCAGCAGAGAACGGGCCGCGGTCGCTGAAAAACGTCAACAGATCACGAGTAGGGAGGGAGAACGTGTTGAGCTGTGTGTTATATCAGTGTCGTCTGCTTCCTGTTGCAGCAACCATATGGACGTTTGTGCTGCTGGGACTGGCCTTCGTCTGCCTTCTTGTTGGGTTTCTGCTGCTGGGAATGGGGGCCATGGCCAACAAGTAGGACCTGCAGTTACACTATGACACTGCCAATGCAATGCATGTAGGGAAATGAATAGTTTTGATGGTTTTAAAGGCTGTTCATCGTCAGTCTCCTGTTCTTTTCCCCTCAGGAGCCGTAGGAAGATTGCGAAGTACAAGGCAGCAGCTGCTGGGACTCAGAGGAGCGAGGAGCTGGAGACCATCGTCCCCCTCAGAGAGGACCAGCCCCCCCCACCCAACGGGGAGGTGAGCGAGCTCAAAGCAGGGCACATCATGGTCACATGGAAAGACGGGAACATCTCCTCCTTGTACTCTGATCCTGTAGCAGAGCAGGAGAAACAGGAAGTGGATCAGGAGGAGAAACAGGAAGTGGATCAGGAGGAGAAACAGGAAGTGGATCAGGAGGAGAAACAGGAAGTGGATCAGGAGGAGAAACAGGAAGTGGATCAGGAGGAGAAACAGGAAGTGGATCAGGAGGAGAAACAGGAAGAGGATCAGGAGGAGAAACAAGAAGTGGATCAGGAGGAGAAACAAGAAGTGGATCAGGAGGAGAAACAAGAAGTGTCAGCTGCTGAGGCAGTGATGACGATCCAAAAGCAGGTGTGAGACAGTGTGAGACAGATTACCATGCTGCTCAGGAGAGTTAATAAAGACAGCTTTCATCATGCTAACTTTAACAGACCTCTAATACTCTGAAGTTAAAGCAATACTAAGATAATATAATATTTTATGTATCATTTTCTATACATCATATATTATATGTTTCCATCTAATAAAACTCATAAAGCAGCAAACGTCTCAACACGCATTTTCTTTGTTGCTAACTATTGTGTTGATATTCTGATATCACTCTGATGTCTGTGTGGTGAATGTGAAGAATGATAGAGCCCACAGGCATTATCGTAGCTATGCTAAGTGGTTAGTGTGCATCCAAACATAAAGTGGGTTAGAAACTGAAGAGGATTAGCGTAGTTTAACATCAAGACCTGTCAGGCTCTTCAAAATTAGACTTATGAATGCTTTTGTTGAATCGGTAGACAAATATACATTTTAAACCCACATGCAGACAGTGATGTCACACTGTCTGAAGATAGCCCCCCCCCCCCTCACACGCGGCCGCTCCCCCGCTCAATATCGCTCCGAGCTCTGTCTGCTGTATTCTCCAGCATACCCACGCTACTGGAGAATGTTTCCCTTCCTCCAGTGGGCCGAGCGGTGGGCCGGGGCCTCCATCATCACTAGAGCCAAAATGGAGGCAGGGGTGAGGAGAAAACCCTGCTCACTGTCGGCCCACTCACAACTTCCGTCCACATACAACCACAAAGTGTTTCACTTCTGTTTGAATACAGATTCAACTATTCAGATACTAGTCTTCATTGGGCTTTCAGTCTCTATGCTAAGCTAAGCTAACTTCCTGAATTTAACGAACAGCTGCAACACTGCTCATATCTCCTTTTTCACAGCTGGTTTAATTGGGGTCTCTCTATGCGGCCCTCCCCAGGTAAAAACGACTGACGTGGATGAAAATGAGTACAATCCCTGTTTAGGTTATAACAGTGTAGAGGACTATACAACATTGAATTGTGTCACATTCATAGATCAATAAATGAGTGGGTTAAAGTGCTGTGTTTCTGATGACTCATTGAATGTGTAGCTTCTTATCTCTGATGTAATAGATAGACGATAAGCTGATCCCTTTTCCTGAATGCTGTGTGTTGATTGGCTCCATGGCGACAGATGACTTGATTCAATGCTGCTGTGAAGACAGCAGATCTTTGGAGCATGTTGCTTCCTATGGCGGCTTTAACAAGCCTAAACGTTCCTCCCACTCTCCACAGATATAATGTAACTGAATGATACTGTTTCTACAGATTTTAATATATTTTTATGTTAAAAATCTGTTGGTATGTGTTGGTATGTGTGGTATGTGTTGGTATAGAGCTTAAACAGTGTCAGTGATTGTACAATTCTCAATAAAAACAAATGTTGCACTGAAAACAACATTTGAACAGTAAAGGGATCATCAGCACAGAACATTTATGTTTTCACTTAAAGGTAGGGTAGGTAAGAATGGAGAAACCAGCTCGAGTGCGCTAGAATTTGAAAGTACACAACCGAAGAAAATCTGCCTCTTCCTTCAGACTTCCTTACAGAGCCCCTCCTCCAACACACACAAACGCACACATGACCAATGAGGACACGAGATAAGTTTGTGCACAGATGGAAGGCTGACAGGCAGGTAGGCCATCCAGTTATCTGCCGCGGGCCGAGGCAGATAATTGGACTAGCTTTCTACAGCGCCACGGCTTCCACAGATGAAATATTTGTATATATTTATTGTCAAAGCATTTAATTTATTCATTGCTATCAGGATGTTAAGAGCATTCCATGGAATATAACAAAAAGTGTTTCTGAAGTGAATTACCTACCCTACCTTTAATCCACTGAAAAATAAAACTCAGAATGCAAAAAAACCTCTCTTTTGTCTGATGTATTTATTTATTATTGTCGACAACTCAGGAGACATCGAGTATCGTTAACTGTGCTTTATTCCCGCTCTGTACTACATCATAACTGGTGTCACTCATATAATATTCCGGGTATTCACAACTCCGGACCAAAGAGTATGTAACATTACATCCCTCCCTTATTTCAGATGAACATTGACTTTTGATATTAACGAAATGTAAATAAGAATTTCAGTAAGAAAGGTCTCTTATTCTTAGTAATCAAATAAAGAAATGAATGTCTCAGTGTTTTAACTTAAATTACTGAGTCTTCTTTGTCACTAGCAAAAATGTCCTTTTTGTAATTGTTCAACTATCTGCAGTCTCTTGACTTCTTTAAGTCATATTTCAGCAATGAGACGTTGTGGTGGTCTCCTGTTTGTTCTGATTGAATATCTGGTTGGAACAGGACCTTCGGGGTTGATATTCTCGTTTTGGAGCTGATGAGTTTCCTCATCTGGTGGGTCAGGAAGTTGTAGATCCAGATCATCCTCTTCGTCAGTCATTCCTGAGTCAGATCCAATAGGAGCTGAAGGTGGGAGCAGTTTGAAGTGTGAGGAGTTTCGTGTTATCTCATGTCCTGGGCGAGCTGCTGTCACCATTGATCCTCTGATCTTCACGATGGTGTAAGGTTTGCTTCCATAAGGAGTCATGAGCTTGCCTTTGATATTCTGACGGCATAGCACAATGTCACCTGGTTTGAGGATAGAAGGTCGAGCTCTGTTTTTGCGGTCGGCATGCTCTTTCATGCGCTGCTTGGCACGCTGATCAATATCTTGGAGTTTGGTGTCAGGTGTGTGATGTTGAGTCACATGAAGAGTGGTGTTGAGTTTTCTCCCAAACATTAACTCGGCTGGAGTCAGCTGTGTAGTACCGTGTGGGGATCCACGGTAATTTCTAAGAAAACTGTAGAGGTTCTGTTTCCATGGTTTTTCTTCAGTGTGTGTGGCTGTTATTGTTTTCTTCAATGTTTTCATGAAGCGTTCAGCTTCTGCATTAGCTCTCGGCCAATACGGTGTTATCTTTCTGTGTTTGAATCCGAGATAGTGGCTGAAATCTTTGAATGGCTGTCCATTGAATGGAGGTCTATTATCTGTTTTCACCACATGTGGGATACCATAGGATGAGAAGATTCTGTCCAGTATGGGAATCACTGTAGTGGCTGCTGTGGACTTTAGTATCTCAACTTTGGGGAACCTGGAATACTACAAGCAGGTAATCACCTGATGGGAAAGGTCCTGTAAAGTCAATAGAAACATTTTGCCATGGACCTTTGGGAAGTTCAGACATATTAAGTGGTTCCATGTGATTCTGGGAGGTTGCTGCTTGACATGGTATGCAGTGTTTTATCATCTTTTCCACCATTTCATCTATGCCTGGAAACCATACCTTTTCTCTTACCAGTTGTTTGGTCTTAACAATGCCAAGATGACCGTCATGGGCTAGGCTTATTGCCTTATGTTGGAGAGAGGTAGGTAGCACAAGTCGTGTTCCTCTGAGAATGACATTCTCTCCAGCGTTGACTGTCAGTTTGTTTCTTAGGCGGTAGAGTGCTTTCAGCATTGGATAATCAGTGTAGTCTGAGTCCTGTGGTGCATGTCTCCAGTGTCCTGCACTCAAATAATGCATCACTTTACATAATGTAGGATCATTCTTTGTTTCTGTTTGAACTTCTTCAAGTGTCATTGCCTTTGGAACAACATTGTCAATGACAAAGTTGACATATTCCTCAGCCATGCGAGACGATCTGCTTGGTATGTTTCCCTCAATAGGATGTCTGGACATGTAATCGGCAGGGTTATCTTTTCCAGCTTTGTACTTGATAATGTAGCTGTATGGTTGTAGTCTTAGCCGCCAGCGTTCTAACCGAGCTGGGGGTGTGGCTTTTGGGTTGTTGAAGATCAATTCAAGCGGTTTGTGATCTGTGATGACAGTGAAGTGTGACCCATAGAGGTATAGGTGGAAGTGTTCACATGCCCAGAGGATTGCCAGAGCTTCTCTCTCTGTTTGAGAATAGCGCTGTTCCAATGGTGTGAGTGCTCGGCTGGCATATGCAACAATGTGGTCATTACCCTCTTTGTCAGGGCTGTGCTGGCTGAGTATGGCACCTAGACCAACAGGGCTGGCATCAACCAGTAGTTTGGATTTCTTCCTTGGGTCAAAGTAAGCCATTGTAGTGTTTTCCATCAGCTCTGATTTTAGCCTCTCCATTGCTGACTGTTGTTGTGGTCCCCATGACCAAGTAGGGTCTTTTTTTGTTAGTTGACGTAAAGGTTCAGAGATCGTGGCATAGTCATGAATGAAACGTGAGCAGTATGTTATCATCCCGAGCAGACTGCGAACCTCTGATGCGTTTTGGGGTGGAGGAAGGTTCTTGATGGCAGTGATCTTTTTAGGATCTGCAGATATGCCTTTTGCAGAGAAAATATAGCCAAAAAACTCAAGCTCTGGTTTACTGTATTCACATTTATTGTCAGGATTGGAGTTTTGTGTGTTAAGTTTTGGATTGTTGTTTTCATTTTCTACCTTTTATTTTGAAATGTTTTCCTCCTTGTGTCTTGTCTGGTCCTTCTTCCTGTGTTTGCCTTCCTGTCGTTAGTTTCCCTGGTGTGTCTGATTGTCTCATTGTGTTCACCTGTTGCCCTTGTGTTTCTGCCTCCCTCACCCAGCTGTTTCTTGTCCCGTGATTACCCCTCTCTGTATTTAGTCTTGTCTTTCCCTGTGTTCCCCTGTCGGTTCATTGTTTGTCTTTCCCTTCACGTCACGCTCCATGTTTGTCCCTGAAGTTTTTGATCCTGGATTCTTTACTCGTGCTCCCCTGAGTTGGTAATGTTAAGTTTGTTTCTTGTTTTCTTTTGTCATCGGCTTTTTGTGAAATAAAGCTCGCTTTTTGTTATCCCTTAAAACCCGCTTATCCTTTGCATTTGGGTCCTACCTTTTCCACGCATCGTATCAGAATGAACCGACCAACTATGGACCCAGTAGAGTTTTATTTTGACTTGGATTTGATCTCCCTAGAGTACACTCTTCAGTGTTATTATGCTGAGTGGAGTAGAACCTCGGCTAAAAGGGACAAAGAGGCTGTCCTCAAAAAGGCACAAATGGAGGTGGACAACGTGCCATGGTTGAGGAGCTCGTTGCCTGAATTGCTCAGGCTGAATTTTCTCGTAGCCCTGAGTGCAAGTCTCCATTCTCTGACCCTTTCTTGGGATCCCGCCTGGCGTTTGGAGGTCCACGGAGCCTCCAAAAGACCTCTAAAAAACGCAAGGTCAGGAGGCCAGCTCGTGCTCCAGTACCGGTCCACACAGTCATGGCTCCGTGCTCCAGTACCTGTCCACACAGCCAGGGTACCGTGCTCCAGTACCATCCCACACAGCCATGGTTCCGTGTTCCGGTTCCGTGCCCAGCAGCCATGGTCCCTGCTCCAGAACCGCCCCTTACAGCCATGTTTCCCCGTAGTTTCAGAGCGCATCGAGTTTAAAATACCATCTACAAGCTGATGCTCACAGCCCCGCTCCTGCCGCCCGCTTGAAAAATCTGTTTACAGTTCTGTTTCATATGGGTGTTGATCTCTTCATTTTGCTCTCAAAGTGCACCAGATTGATGCTTTTAACTTCAATATTTAAAAAAATATCTTGATATTTTTTTGGTTGTAACCATCCAAGAGAGTGTTGAGCATCAGAGACCCTCACTAAAACTTTACGGCTATTCATATATCAGCTGTTCATCTTATTGTGATGTCAACCCCCTGGAGAACATTGTGGGGGGGTCAGAAGATCTTAAAGCCTTTGAGCAGGGTGAGCGTGGCGGCTCTGCGTCTGCTCTGAGCTCTGGAGCTCTTCACAGTGAGCAGCCGGGCGGTGGCTGGCAGCTCCCGGCAGCAGGGGGGGGGGGAAGGAGGGGACCCCCAGCAGCGCTTTGTCCTCGCTCAGGTAGACGGCTGGCCCCAGGGGGCTGCGCCTCACCCTCCTCACTGCCTCGTAGAAGACGTGCTGCACAGAGAGGAAGTCCTGACAGGCCGAGAGCTCGAAGAACGTGGCGTGGAAAAGAGAGGCGAGCCCCTCACCCTCACTGCGACTCACCTGCCTGAGAGAGGGGGGGAAACCTTTACCATGTTATACTAAGAGATGTGCTCAAACAATTAGCTTTACACTAGTATCCCATTATTATATACATATATAATATGTATAGATAATACAATGATTTTGTGAATTTGATATAGGTCATGTAGTTTTTCATGTATTATTTTCAGTTGAAGACATGTGGGTAACGGCTATGTATCTAAATTATTTCCTGCACTGCGGTCTATGGTGTCAGAAAAAGGCAAAAAAATCGTTTTAAAACGTACTGGATGTCCTGGTAAAGATATTTGATACAAAGATTTTCTTACAGGGATTTATCCACTTAGAACTCAAGTGGTTAAATACCACTTAGCCGTCATTAGCCTAGCAGTGGTGACTTGAACTCAGTTTGTTTGAAGCCTACTGTTAGCTTTTTACTTCAGGAGATTGCATTTATGCTTTAACGTTCATAAAAGTGGTTTTAATATGTGGAGATTATTCTAGTATCATAAATTTCTTTTTACAAAATTCTGAAATCCAATGAAAATAATCCCTTTTTGTAGATCCTAACTTCAGGGTCGGACTACAAAAACATGTAATCACTAGTCTGCACTACTCTGTGCTGAGGGTAGCACAAGGTTAAGTTTAAATGAGTTCATTGCCTTGAGAACATTCAGTATACTTCATGCTGAATTTATCATTTCAACTCAAGTAAAGATGCTCAACTTCCTGCTTCCTCTCTCTCACACTGCAGACACATGGGGAGGTCTAAACGCTCTGAGGGCTCTCTAGTTAAAATGATACACCAATTTACTGGACACACACACACACACACACACACAGATACCTGCCTGTATCTGTCCATGTCCAGCTTGTTCCCCAGCAGGATGATGGGGGTTTTGTTGTGCAGGGCGAGGGTCTGCAGGTAGGGCTGGCAGCCTGCAAAGCTCTGCATGCTGTCCACACTGTAGACCACCAGGAAGGCACTGGCCCATGACAGATAACGCTCACTGTTCACTGGACCCTCCTACACACACACACACACACACACACACACACACACACACACACACGTACATGTATATATAGATGTAATAACATTTTGCCGCAAGGCTTTGAGTAAGGGAGGGACATGCATTTTATTATTAAGGTGTTTCTTTTGGATGACAATTTATATTTGATTTATGTTTTTTCAACATAGTTCGAAAGGTTTTTGTTTCCGTTTTTTTGTGAAAACAAAAAAATGATATGTTGGTACATAACCTTGAGTGAATATGAGTTCCTACCTGGTCGCGGGTGTCCATCACTCTCACTGTGACTGACTGCTGGTCCACTGTCTCTACTGATGAATAGATGTCCTCTAAACGGCAGCCAGTGAAAATCCTTTACTTACAAAAAACGTATATGCTTCCAGTTCTGAAAGCCTGCAGGTAACAATCACTGAGAATAGACTTCTCAGTGAGTTGGAGATATTTCGTCTCAGTTTACAACCCCATTGGATTTACTATGACCCTTTACCTTTACCTGGCAGGTTGATTCTGCAAAACTCCCCTAGGTGGCGCTGCAGGGATCTCATTCCCCAAAACTACTGTCCCAGCTGAAGGAATTGGATTGGCTAGAAGACTTGAGAAGGATCAAAGCATTGAGCGTGCCACGATGCATCAAAACCAAAAAGTGCTTCCATACAACCCTGCACTGCGCAGTGAGAATGGATTAGATATTCAACATTCAAACGCTTAAATACTACGCCTAATGCCTTCATATGATCTCAAGTGGCCTTTTTGGTTTGCCACTTCAAACAATGTAATTAATTAATTAATAATGAAACACACAAATTATTCCAAGCATTTTATATGTATCATTTGTCTGGAGGACATGTTAAAGGTAGGGTAGGTAAGAATGGAGAAACAAGCTCGAGTGCGCTAGAATTTGAAAGTACGCTGCCGAAACAAATCTGCCCCTTCCTTCAGACTTCCTTACGCAGCGTCCACACGGCGGAGTGCGTTGAAGCTTGCCGGTGGGCTTGTCTGAAACTCGACCAACAACCAATCACATGAATCTCCCGCCCCGGACACACAAGCACGCGGTTTGATTGGCTAGAGCTTGTACTGGCATATGATTTGATTGGCTGACGCTTCCGTCGAAGCTTCAAAAGTTGAACATTGCTCAACTTTTGAAGCGAGCAACGTGAGCAAAGCGAAGCGACGGAACCACAATGCAGTTCGGCAAAGCGTGACGTTACCCCATTCAAAGTGAATGGTCAGAAGCGTTGAAGCTTCAACGCACACCGCCGTGTGGACGGGCCGTTACAGAGCCCCTCCTCCAACACACACGAACGCGCACATGACCAATGAGGGCACGAGATAAGTTTGTGCACAAGATGGAAGGCTGACAGGCAGGTAGGTCGTGCTTTTTACAGCGCCATGGCTTCCACAGATGAAATGTTTTCATGTATTTATTGTCAAAGCATTTCATGTATTCATTGCTATCGGGATGTGAAGAGCATTCCATGGAATATAACAAAAAGTGTTTCTGAAGTGAATTACCTACCCCACCTTTAAGGTAAAGCTAATCCCACTAAATCAAGCAATATAATAGGCCCTGCACTGCTACTGGAGTCAGTGTACACTGAAATTAGATCTGGTGGTCATACACAGACTTGGTTCTCTAAATGGAGCCACAGCGCTCCCCAGAGGCAGAGGCAGGGATGTGCAGAGACGCTATATCTGGAGGATTTGTTTGTGTGTTGCTTCAAATATCTACAATCTCTCTCCAGAATCTCTGACTCCTCCTTTAAGTTAAACTCGTCCAGCTAATGTAGCGACTTTCTTCCACTTATTATTTTATATGTATTATTTGTATTCAAATGCAAGCAGAGACCTCTCACCTAGATAGGGGTCATATTCACTGATGAAGCGCTTTGTGAGTAATTTCACCGTCAGTGCTGTTGTTTCTTGGAGTCAGAAAAAGAAAAAGGGCTCTACAGATCCAAGTGGACTGGATCCAGATTCTGCTGTGGCCACTGTGGGACTCCTCTGCTCCCAGAAGAGAAAATAACTTGTGTACTTCCTCTCAGTTTTAGGAAAAAGGCTCCAACCACGCTCGTAAAACCTGGCCTGGGAATTACTCAAGCACTGGACAACTCACCGTGCTGAACGAGGATGGAATCAGTCTTATTCCAAGAGATTCCAATTCTAAGACTTTGACCATATTCTCATGGGAACATGGTTATGTTTAGACACTGAGCCGAGCTAGCATAATATTGTTGACATAACTACAGACTACATCAAATACATAAATCAGGAATTTATTAGAAGTTGGCAAATCTGTAACATTCCCAAGACAACTGATTATCTGAACTACTCTTTAAACAAATCACAAACTATTCTGTGTGATCGTCTTTGTTTCAAGTTTTCAAGGGCCCAGGAAATATTCCCATGGATATTTTCCAAGGTGGTCATTATTTTTCATAAACTTCATTGTATTCTCCCAGTTCCAATATGTGCATGTTTTAAATATTGATTTGGATGTGTGATTTGAACTTGTTGTTCCATGTTTTTGTAACTTATGTTGTGAGGTTGTAATGGAGATATTTTTCCAAGGTTTTCCGTGAGTTTACTTTTGAACTGTATCAGATTGATTGATACTTGTCTTGACGTTGTCCATAGGAACTGTCAACAGCCCGTATCAATGGGGCAAAAGAGGATAATGTGGGTGGGGCTAACAGCGGCTGCAGCGTTGAGTCCTTTTGCTCTACTTAATTTTTGCGTGTGTATTTGATGCTATTCGTGCCTATTGGCACTTGATCCAGCCCATGGGGTTCCTGGGGCGGGTGCTTTTATTTTATTTCTTGTAGTATTTTTATTTTATTTCTTGTCTTATGATGTTTTTTTCTGTTTTGGGGTATGTTCTATCACGTGGTATGTATGTGTTTTGTACCATGTTGTTCTGTGTTTCTGCATTAAAGAAATACACATTTTATCACAAATAAAACGAAAACACTTTGAAATGTTGGCTTTATTTGATCATTTTACATATTCTGATTTTTGTTTTTAAATATTGTTAAAAGTTAAAAAAAAATATAATAGTAGAGGAACTAAGACTCCTTTAAGTTTGAGATACCCCTACCCAAGATAGAATAAAGCACAACCATGTTTTTTCATTACTTTGATATAACTTGTTTTTGGAGCCAATGGTTGTATACAAAATAACGTAATAACGTAATTTCTTGGGTTGGTGTTTGAATACTTCCCATAACCGAAAATATTCCAAATGTAGGCTCCTCTGAATGGGACAATGTCGGCCTAATCATATGTATCTCTGGAGACGCATATTTTGATGCCAGGTAAGTTAATAATAGGCAAAAAGAAGACCAATGGTTACTCAAAAGAATTGTGGCAACAAAGTGACATGTAATATTTTGAACAGATATTAACTTTCACAACTTTATTGAAAATAACTGAATCAAATGACTACATTTAAAAAAATAAAATAACGTTTTTGCCTATAGAGTGGTGCAGTGACGCGTCCTAAAACCCGGAAGTAAGCTGCACATGGGTTCCTTCCGGTTCCCTCGACAAAAAAGCAATGCAATTTCTCCATAGGATTTTGGAAAATAGCTCGAAATATGGTCTGTGGTTGACACACATTTAAGAGACGGATCACGTTTTGTTCAGTCAGATAATCTCCACATGTCTACCCTACTTTTATAATTTTCGAATCATAAATCTAATCGATAGATTTATGATCGATTGATTTATGATTCGAATATTTTCCAAAATCCTATGGAGAAATTGCATTGCTTTTTTGTCGAGGGAACCAGAAGGTACCCATGCGCAGCTTACTTCCGGGTTTTAGGACGCGTCAGTGCACCACTCTATTTGTGTGGTAATTAAATAATTTGAATAAACTACTTAAATTCTGTCCTGCGGTGCCCAATTCTTTAAATGATTGTGCTGGTACTGTTTAAAAAAGAACCTCACCTTAGTGTGTGACAGATTCTCAGGCAGGTTCTGCAGTCACAAGGAGCTCCTGTCATTTCTAACAGAGTCATGGATGTTTACTGATGATGGACTTCAGAGATAAGACAGACGACTTGAGGAATTCTCTTTCCTGTGAAACAACAGAGCCCACGTTACTACACACAGAATTTACAAAAGGTTGGCCTTATGATCGTGACAGAAAATGGAAGCACATCAGTGGTTTCTGCATCCAGCAGATATGAAGCATCATGATGATCCTTTGTCAGTCCAGTATCCTCCCTGTGAGCTCCACCATCTGCACGATATCATGAACCATGTCATAGACATAACAGTGTTTTAAAGGTCCCCTATTATACTGTTTTTCATCAATATATTATAGGTCTCAGATATATACAAAATATGTCTCTGAAGTGTTTTGCTCGAAATACCAAACAGATCATGCATTGTAGCATCCCATAAACCCCTCTGTTTCAGCCCTGTTTCAAAAGTGCTGATTCTCGTCTGTTACTTCAGATGAAAATAAGGAGCCACTCCCCACGCCCCTCTGAGAGATATTTGGTTAAAAAGAACACAATGGTGCTCTAGGAGGAGATTCAGCTTGGTTGGTGATTGGCTAATGCTTACACAAGCCAAAAAATCGTTATGACATCATAAAGTGGCCAAAATGGATCAGGACAAAAAGTGAGCAAATCTTTTTTCCTGAAACGTTCAGAATCTCTTTACACAGAGGGGACACATGTTTATGTATAAAAGACATGAACAAGTGGATTTTGCATAATAGGTCCCCTTTAAATGTAAATGTAAAGCACATGTGTGTATAGGCTACAACTATTTGGAAACAGTGTATCCCCATATGTATTTCCATATGTGTCCACTAGAGGGCAATGGTTCATTTTTACCTTAAAGGGGACCTATCATGCAAAATGCACTTTTGTACGTCTTTTGTACATGAATATGTGTCCCCGGTGTTCCAGGGAACTCACCAAGTGTCAGAAGACACAACCCTCTCTATTTTCCTCCATACCCAAATCTCTAAAAAGGGGGCTGCAACGGATCTGATAAAAACTGATCCAGATTTGAACATTTCACTGACGTCAGGACGGTGGCTATCTATCAGGGGAATGTGGGATTGGGCCACGGCCGGCCATTGCCGCTCGAAAGCGCTGGAGACGCTGTAGTACATATGCCAGGCCTGTAAGTGGCGCTGTAGTCTGCCACAAAAGCAGCGAAGAAGACTTCCCGCTCATGGTTGCCATGGTTGCCCTTCTGTTTATTCTCCGCTGTGGCTCTTTTTCTCCCTCCCCGAGGCAAGCGTTTGCTCCTGCTGCTGTAATTCAATGCAATCCCTCCCCATCGAGGCAAGCACTGTAATTATCTCCGGTTAGTCCACCAGCAGATGACAAACACCCACCTCTCCGCCTCTTCCAAGGAACGAGGGGACCGTGCGGCAGAGTTTCAGTTCAGTCAAGATGTCCGTTAAAGTTTAAATCTTCCGGACAAAATTAGAAAAGTGCCGGTCAAAGGTCTTCTTTGTTATTTATTGAGCTTTAAAACAAATGAATAATGACTCTATATAATAATATAATAAAACACGAAGGACGGAGATCTCTTTTTCTCCCCCTCTTCTGACAGCCCAGCAGCTGATCAGAGCACGCTCCCCTCTCCTGCAGGGGGGCGTGGTCAGCTGCAGCTCACAGAATCAGCCCCCTGCAAAAACAGGGCTGGAAAGAGCAAATGGAGCGAAATGAGGAATGGCTAAAATGCAGGATCTGTTTGGTATTTTGAAAAAAAAACTATATTTATATACTTTATATAGGTATGGCCCTACAATATATTGTTCAAATATATTTTTGATATATTGTTCATGATAGGTCCACTTTAAAGCAGCGGTTTTCAGGGTGCACCTCCCCGGGGGGAGACCGAGTTCCCCCACCTCGCCAAAAAGGCTGTTAAAGTGCCGCCTCAATCTCAATCTCAATCTTTATTTATTTATATAGCACATTTAAAACAACCTTCAGTTGACCAAAGTGCTGTACAGGCAATAAATATTAAATAACACAATGGGAGTACAATAATATAACAATAATTAAAAACATGATAAAAAGCACAATAACTAGAAAAATATTTTTAAAAAAACACATACAAATGTAAAAATGTAATGTTCAACTAGTATTAAAAGCCAGTGCAAAGAGGTGGGTTTTTAGCTGAGATTTAAAAAGTTCAATAGACTCAGCAGTCCGGATATGTACTGGGAGGCTGTTCCACAGTCTGGGAGCTGCAACACTGAAAGCCCTGTCACCTCGGGTCTTTTTCCTGCACCGAGGAACCACCAACATATTCTGCTGAGCTGATCGCAATGCTCTAGCTGGAGCATGGCGGTGCAACAACTCAGACAGGTAATGTGGTGCCAGTCCATGCAATGATTTAAAAACAACAAGTAAGTACTTGAACTGGATCCTGTAACTGACAGGAAGCCAATGAAGGTCTGCCAAAACTGGTGTGATGTGGTCATAACGTCTCTTCCCAGTAAGAAGGCGTGCAGCCGCATTTTGGACCAGCTGCAGGCGACGGATCAAACACTTATCAACACCAATATACAGGGAGTTACAATAGTCTAAACGAGACGTTATAAATAGGTGGATTAGCTGTTCAAATTCCTTACTAGGAAGATAGGCCTTTACCTTCCCCAGAAGCCGCAGCTGGAAGAAGCTTGTCTTGACAACTGAGCTTATTTGTTTGTCGAATTTAAAACAGTTGTCAAAGATTACTCCAAGATTTCTGACAGAGGGACGGCTGTAGGAGGCTAAGGGGCCGAGTACACTATTAAAGCCATCCAGGAGTTCAGACTCTCCAAATATTATAATCTCTGTCTTGTTTTCGTTGAGAGTCAAGAAGTTGATTTCCATCCATGATTTGATGTCTTTCAGACAGCTAAGCAAGGCAATCCTAGATTCCTTATTTGCTTTTATAGGCAGGTATACCTGCAGATCATCTGCAAAGCAATGGTAAGATATGTTATGCTTTTTAAAAATTGACCCCAGAGGTAGTAAATACAGACTGAACAAAATGGGACCTAGGATAGAACCTTGAGGGACCCCATATGCTAGTGGGGCTGCAGCTGAAGAATACTGGCCTCATTCCCTTCACCTCCACCCAGGGGCGGACTGGCCATCTGTAGCATCTGGAGAATCACAGAACGGCCGGTCGTCCGTGCGCCTGTCGGTGAGGGCAGCCGGTCGTCCCGGCGTTAAGCAGACACGCACGAGTCGTCCGAAATGAGCCGCTTCTCATTTCTATACATTTTGCGTCCCAGACTCCCAGGTGCTCCGGCAGCGACCCGGAAACGGATGTCGGCGCGCCGTCTCGATGGAAAACAAATTTCTCAAAAGGCTGGTCGAGGATCGATTATCGAGGAGGATGTCTGGAGGAGCCGTAACCGAGGATACACTGATTTAGAGGAGAGAGGAGAGAGGAGAGAGGAGAGAGGAGAGAGGAGAGAGGAGTCTCTCTGGAGGAGCTATAACCGAGGGTACAAAGATGTAGAGGAGAGAGGAGAGAGGAGAGAGGAGAGAGGAGAGAGGAGAGAGGAGAGAGGAGTCTCTCTGGAGGAGCTATAACCGAGGGTACACTGATGTATTCTCCGGAGTCAATTTCAGCCAACAGTGATGTTTAAAAGAGGCGTGTCGCATGGCTGGACTTATGTCAACAAAGCACAGCTCTGCAAACTGTTCCCGTTGTGATTATAAGTTATTTAAGATGATCAAATGTGCATCAGACTTTCTGCCCTTTACCGTTTGTTTACTCACTAATCACATCTCCCCTGGATGTTAGGCTATTTATTATACAACTGCTTTCATTGTGACGCGATGTTTACAGTGAGAACAGCTGCTGAGGTCAGTGCAGAAAGCAGAACAGTGTGTATAATATATATCGCTCAATAATATATGTAACAGGCCTACATTTATTTGTAGGCTTTCGGAGATATCTACAAATAAACAGTAGGGTTAGGGTTAGGGTTAGGGAGTGTATAGGTGTCTGTTGTAATGAATATGCCGCCAGCAAAGGGTGTTGTTGGACAAACAGTAGGTGAGTGTGTGTGTGTTTGTGTGTCTGTTTGTGTGTGTGTGTGAGAGTTGATGTGCCAGGCAGACAGGCGGGTCTCAGTAGCTAAAGGTAGTATCTGACATATAAATGGTCAAAAATGGTACATTCTCCGTTAGCTTACGAGCTCCATGTTCAAGCGATCGACTATTCCTTTGCAATGTAGCATCACATTGGATATGCGCTTAAGTTGCCCTAGATTGGAATTTTTCCGATCATTTCCCTAAGACGAATTAGCAAAAATGTGCTTAAAATGCATGAAAAACGCAAATCTTTCAAAATGGCCGACTTTCTGGGGGGCGGGGCTAATGAAAAGCAATTTGAAATATGTGTGCAATCATAATAGCAATGTGTATACAGCGTTTCGTGAGTTTGGAGCAATTTGCGACATGTAAATCGTCAAAAATGATGTATTCGCTGTTAGCTTACGACCTGCACGAGTGATTTTTCAAAAATGTGCTCCGCAATTAAGTATATTATTGGATAGGGGCTGAACTTGTCCTGGATTGGAATTTTTCCGATCATTCCCCTAGGAGGTGTTTGCAAGAATGTGCTTAAAATGCATGAAAAACGCACATTTTTCCAAATGGCCGACTTCCTGGGGGGGCGGGGGCTAATACAAATATGTCCGCAATTCCATGAGGAATGTCTCTGCCAAAATTCGTGAAGTTTTGAGAAACTATATGTGACTACCACACAATAGGGGGCGCTAGTGAGCAGTTTTTCTGAAAAATTTCGTTTTTTTTTTACATTCTTGAAAAGGTCGTGGGCTCTGACGTGTGTCCCAAGTTTTGCGTCCGAAGCTCATTTTATGCTATCGCAATTTAAAAAAAATGTATAGGCCACGCCCACATTCTGCATTTGTTGCGACACTTTAAATCTCAGTTTGTTGTCACCCCCAGAGTATGTGTAAAAAAAAAAATAATAATTCGTCCATCCGCTCTTGAGTTATAAATTGGTGGTGTTTTTGGCGCCCCCTATAGTCCACAATGAAAATGCTTTGGTGTGCCTATTCCCCAAGACAGACTGAACCTCTCCACCAAAATCTGTGAGTTTGGTGTTGAAAAACTGAAAATTGAAATTTAAGTGAATATTTCACTGTTTTGAACATTATGCTAATTTAAATTAAAAGAAATGTAGGCGGAGCTTAGGGTTCCAAGAGGATTATTTGTAGAGCAGGTCCACCCGGATATGTGTGCAACATTTCAGGTCATTTGGAGTTACGGTGCGACTTTGTACATTTATTCCGAAATGGGATTTTGATAGGTGGCACTAGCGAGCAGGTTGGAATATTTAACCCATTGACTCCAGAATATAAAATGTTTCACCGGTCCTGGCGTACGTGCACAATTATACAACTTTTGAAGCATCCTAAAGGCCTCAAAAACAGGAAACAGTAGCAGAAAAATAACGAAGAATAATTCCACGAAGAACAATAGGTTCCTCGCACTTCGTGCTAGGACGCCGTTGGGTCCTAGCGCTCCGTGCTCGGGCCCTAATAATGGGAGGGGGGGCGCGGCTGTTCTTATGTTCTACACTTTGAAAACCCCTGCCTTAAAGGTCTCCTATTATGCTAGGCATATATAGAGTGGTGCCGTGACGAGTCCTAAAACCAGGAATTGAGTCAGCATTTTACCACAACCGGTTCCCTCGTCTCAGAGTCAATGGGATTTCTCCATAGGATTTTGAAAAATAGCTCGAAATAAGGTCTGTGGTCGAGGCAAATTGAAGAGACGGATCACGTTTTTTTCTACGACATTAAATACATCAGCAGTGAGTGGCCTCACTGGTGATTTTTGAAGAGTTTACGTGTCTGAAAAATGATGGTTGTTAACAGTGGCGGCTGGTGGAAAATATTTTAGGTGGGGCTGTGGAAATGGTGATCAAACAATACTAGAGGGGTCCGGGGGGATGCTCCCCCGGTAATTTTTTTTGAGAAAAGACCCCTTAAATCATGACTTCTGGTGATGTTAGAGGGGGGGAGAAGGACAATTTGAGGCTTAAAAATATGAGAAGACTGATCAATACCTCCATAACTTCAGTGTGGTTAGCTATGAATCTTCCAAAACTTCCAAACACCTTGTCCTGGACATAGTTTCTACAGCATAAACTGTGCAACAGTACAGTAGGCCCACACAAACTGCAGAACACCGGGGCTTTGGGAACACTGATTTAATTCCCATTTAACCTGTTAAGGGGCTTTTTTCCCCCGTTTTTTTTCTCACGAAACTGTGTCTCAGGGCTTCTTAAAATGTAATAAACTATTCATGTGTCCTACTCAGAGGAAACGCATCTAACTGATGATATGAACCATGTTTACCGAAACAAAACACAAGTCTCACAAGAAGCGTCTAAATGAGCCCTGAGCGAAAAAATGCTAACGCACTCTAGGTATAAATCAATCGATATACTTATCGGATATGCACAAACAAGCTTACAAGCTGAGATTCCACATATTCTAGAAATATAAGTATCATCACTGAGCGATCAGAACTCGCGACAGGGGAAGCAAATACAGACATCACACGACGTAGCTTTAGGTAGCAAAACATGGAGATATGCTCACCTTTTGCAGAATAACAATTCTGATCAAAAACGAGAAAAACGCAGCTGAAGGTTAATCCATAAATTAATCCAATGTGCCTGTCACTTTGAAAAATGATTGATGATGATGATTTTTATGTCAAAAACGGAGTTTTCATTAGCTGCTAAATGGTAGCTTCCAGAGTGTATGACAGCTTCCTGTTTTGTCTCCTTGGATACGAGTCCAAACAACTCACAGACTGCACCGGGCGCTCACGTAGGAGCCCTGTGACCATCATATTTGACGACGCTGATTGGCTGAAATTATGTTTTCGCGGCATAGTTTACACGTTACAGATAGCAACAGTCAGCTGCTAGTGGCTGCTGCTGCACTGGTTGAGGGCTCCTCTCTTAGCGCCCAGACGAGAGAAGGTACACGGGCAAGGCCAGGCAGGAAACATGTGACTTATCAGTAACTTTAGACATCGTAACACAATTTTAAACGAGATTTTATTGTAGATTATACATTTTACTGATACCAATTATATAATATTTACCTTGTTCATTAAAAATAAAAATAAATCTTTTTTTATTTTTTTAAATATATTTTTTATTTTTATTTTTTAATATGGGAAGAGGTGGGGCGGCGCCCCTAGCGCCCCTATGGACCGGCCGCCACTGGTTGTTAACAAGTGGCTGAATAGGACTACAGAAGTTGTCAAGGACGTTGTACGTCATTATGCCGAACACGTAAACACTCCCGCTAAGTTTGTTTGCCCTGTTCTGCTTGAAAGCAAGTACCTGCGCTCTTGCAAACTGTTAAAACAAACGCTTCAACTTGTACAATTTTGAATCTGTATTTTTGAATATGGATCTTAAGTTGGCGTGACGTTGAAGTCGTGCGACTCTGCTGCACTCGGCTGT